TTTCTATAAAGAATTTTAAATTAGGTAACCTAAGCAATTATTGCAGTAAATAATCCCCAAATATGGAAAATTCACAATTATCATCGTACAACCTCGTATATTAATTACTTTGTAATTCGTTTGGTAGTTTTTAATTACTTATAAAATATATATATATATATATATGATGAAATCGTTCAATACCTCATCTCACTTCTTGAAGATGAATCCTCACCCTCACTTTCCCTAATAAAATCTCTTCAAAGAAGGATCTTTAAAAATATAACCTAACTTATCACCATATATACAACAATCCTATATACACTATACCTCCTCCCAAAAAGTGTAATCAACCAAATGTATTCCGAAAAGTTATCATCGCGTCGCTTAAACCCACCATTATTTTATCGGCCCCTTCCACCGATCCCAAAAAAGAGACCTTCATTTAACCGTTACTTTACCCACTGTATTTTCAACGGCTTGCGCCGCTCTCAAAAGCGTCGCTATATCCGATCAACCCCACTTCAAGCACCACATCGAGGTAATCCTTCAGGTACTCGACATAATAATGGTCTCTACAATACCGAAGTAACCACAATACCACCGCATGAGCTTACGAATCCTTTTGTAAGAAAAGCAAATGATCGTCGTGGTGGTATTGTAAAAAAATGCTTAAAATATAGTATAGACGTTGCTTGTATTCCCATTACAATACCCGATGATAATTTCTCAAGGACTCAAGATCAACTAACTATTTTGGAAAAACTTCGAGATTCTTCCAACATTTTGAAATTTTATGGGCTCTCTCGTGATGATAATCAATTTTTCATGATATTTGAATGGGCCGAATTAGGAAACCTTCTCGAAGTTTATAACATATACGATATTTCTTGGAACGCAAAGGTAAAAAAATAAAAAAGAATTAATCACACACAAGAAAAAAAAAAATATACATTAAAAAACTTTTTATTTTTATTCTCAAAGGTGTCTATTGCTTTTGGTATCTGTCGTGGCATTTCTTACTTGAATTCCTGTTTGATCCTTCATCATGATATTCGCTGTGCAAACATTATGATGACACCACATTTGGAACCAAAAATTACAAATTTTAGATATGCGATCGATAAAAGTAAAATAAATACTGAATATTATGAATATGTACCAAATGTAGATGATATTATTAATTGGATGGCTCCTGAAAAAATTCTAAATTACCGATATAATGAAGAATGTGAAATGTTTAGGTATTTATAAGAAAATTTTCATTTATCATTTCATTATGAATTTATAATAATATCAAGTTTTTTTTAATTTATAGTTTTGGAATGTTATTATGGGAACTTGCTTTCGAAACCATTCCTTACAAGGGTTGGGACGTACAAAGGATAAAATATCACGTTTTAAATAGTCATAGAGAAAATTTAAACTTTAAATTAAATAATGACGAAAAAATACTTCAGGAAAGTTATTTTAAAATCATTAAAAATAGTAAGTGTCATTTTTATTAAATAGCATAATAATTTATTAAAAATTTTGATTAATTTCAATGTTTCTTTTTAGCTTGGCATCATAATCCACAAGAACGTTTAAATCTTCAGACCGTTCTCTTCGAACTTGATAAATTAGTTTCCAACTACCATCAAAATGGATTTTCTCAAAGTTTGATTCCAAAGTATATTAATAAACTTATTACTGAATCCGTTGATGAGTTAGAAGATAAAGCAAAAGAATGGATTGAAAGTGCTATAAAAGATAGAGTTATTAAATCAATAGGATGGTCCGAATTGCAATATCATCAGAAGATTGGGGCAGGAAATTTTGGAACAGTATTTAAAGCATATTGGCCTAATATTCATAATAATGTAGTTTATAAAAAATTACTCATTTCATCGGACATTCAATTTAAGATGTGGGAAGCGTTTAAACATGAATTACAGATACAAAGCCGAGCACATAGTTGTGAAAATATTATTCGTGTTTTAGGAATAAGTAAAAGTGAGTTCTCGATATCCAATTTACTTTATTTTATTATTATTTTAAATTATTATAATTATCATAAATAATATATATATATTTATCTTTTTATAGATTTAAATAATGAATATTCTATTGTTATGGAATATGCTAATGAAGGAGATTTAAGTTTATATCTTTCAAACAATTTCGAAAAACTCGACTGGAACAAAAAAATTCGATTAGCTTTGGATATTACAAATGGATTACATTATTTGCATAAGGAAAACATTCTGCATAGAGACCTTGTAAGTAATTTAAATTATCAAAAATCATCAAATTATAAAAAGATTTAGTAATTTTATTTTTACCTTTATTTTATCATTATAGCATGCCAGAAACATCGTAATACATCATGGAAGAGCAAAAATTACAGATTTCGGTAATTCCAAGAGCATGAATTCTATGACCAGAATACACGATCACATATTTGGTAACATTTCATATATTGCTCCGGAAGTTTTAAGAAAAAATTCCTACACAAAATATTCTGACATTTATAGTTTGGGAGTTTTACTGTGGGTGTTATCAAGTGGTAGGCCTCCTTTTAAAACTCAAGAAGATTACACAATAATTACAACAATATTATCAGGAAACAGAGAAAAGAGAATGCCTAACACTCCTAATGAGTATTATGAATTATATAACACATGTTGGAATGATGAACCTGAAAGGAGACATATTATTGAATATGTTTATGAAGTATTAGAGAAGTTATTATTAATGAATAAAGTATTGGTACAAAAAGGTAAAAAATGAATCATAATGTACTATTTATCAATTTTTTTTGCTAATTATTTAATTTTCAAATTTCAGAAACTCTACCAATATACTATTCTGGTTATTTAACACCTCCAACATCAACATCAAATATGAGCATTATGAGCTCAAGATCTGATGTTAGTTTAAATGATAGTTTAAGCACTAGGTTTGATCTAAATGCTGAAGTTGTTAGTACAAATGTTAAGGTTCATTCATGTCAGATCTCAGTAAAATTTGTAAAAGCGTGTGTCAAAGTGGTAAAAGATAAATTATCTACACATAAATGAACAATATTTTATTTTAATTTCATAGAAATAAACAAATAAAATTGGTTTTGTTATGATGTCACATGTGATAAATAACAAAAAAAAGGAAAAATATTCATTTATCATTATGTTATACAAAATAAATAAAATGGTATTAAAAATTATAACTTGTAAATATCTACTAACTAATTATAAAGTCTATTCATTCTCATAACCAATGAATTCCAAAAAATTTTTAAAAAAGAAAAGAATTTAAGTTATTAAATTTTGTCATATCTATTTATATTATAATTTACAATTATATTTTTAATTTTTTCATTTTCTAATTATTTTGTTCCATAGAAGGTAGACAAAAGTATCTATACACCCTTCATAAAATATGAATTAATACTAGTAAAGTCATATAATTGCAATAACAAATCATATTCACATAACATTTAAGTGTTTATTTATTTTATAAAAATAAAAGAATAACAATTTATTTTTTTTTCTTCTCTGAAAATTTTAAAAAAAAGGTAAAAACTAAAGAATTAACTGCAATGTTTTTTAAAGCGTAAAACAATTTTTATATATTATCTTAGCTAGCTCAAAGTGCCAATCTTAATCTAATTAAGAATCTTTTAGCTGAAGTCAAGAAAAGTATCTGAACTTATAAAAATCCTATCTAATCTTGCTGATTTTAACCGATATATTAAAAAGGCATAGTAAAAAATTCTAAAGCATACTATTGAAAACCTAGTTAATAGTATGCTGCAATGAATTCAAGTTGTGATTACAGCAAATGGTAGTTCAACTAAGTACTAATTACTTAATATGAAATGTAGATATTAATCAACTTTAAATAAAATATTAATTAACCTTTTATTGTTAATATAAAAAATTTAAGTTTTATATTAAGTGAAAAAGTGTGCAACTACTTTTATTCACCCTTTATACATTTACAAACTAATTCTTTATTTCTTATAAATTCTTTAGAATTGTTTATGTTATTAAGTTCTGATATTATTTGTTTAATATTTAACTTTTCATCTGGTTTATTATACCAACATTCTGTTTAAATAAATAATAAATGATTAAGATTAGATTATAAAAAAGAATAAATCATTATAAAATTAAAAATTATAATTACTTTGATAAAGCTTAACAAAGTTACCATTCATAGTTGAAATGGGTCTTTCTCTTTCACCTTTAATTATTTCAAATAAAATAGAAGTATTACCTGTTATTTTGAAATTGAATAGTGATGAATAACTTGTTAATTCTTAAAACAATACCCTCAAGTTATATATATCAGATTTTTGGTTAAATTATACGAATAATTTCCAAAAACTTAGGATCCATATAAGGAATTACATCACATGTTGCTTTGGTATAAAAATCTGATCTTCACAAGTATAAACATCTAAAATCCACTAATTTTATTGCTTCTTGATGAATTAAGATATTATTAGGATGCTTTAAAAAAATTGGTATTAATTATATAATAAAATTAAATGATAAAATAATAATAATTAATTGATTAAAATATATAAGATCTCCATATATAATTTGATATTCATGTAAACATGACATAGCACTTGCAATTTCACAAGCAAATATTAATTAACTTTTCTATTTACATTTAAAAATTTTAACATTGTCTCGTAAATATTTTTCAAGTGTTCTACCATTTGCATATTCAAGAATAAGCAAATAATTTTCTTCATCTAAATAAAAAATATGAAAATATAATATGCAAAATTTATTAAATATGCAATTATTATTTTACCTTTATATCTTGTGACTCCACAAAATCTAATTATATTTAAATGGTAATTTATTATTTTCATTAAACAAATCTAAAATATACAATTTACCTAAATAAGAATATCTAAAAGTATTAACAAAAAATTACTTAATAAGAAATAAACCTCATTTAAAATAATTTTTTCTATAAAACTTTCTGCAAATTTTTAACTGCAAATTTTGCATGATCATCTTTTAAATTTATAGCATAAATTGAAGCAAATGCTCTAAATCCAATTTCAGAATATATCTTAAAATTTTGAAAGTTAAAATCACGTATATCATAACCTTTGAGACACAGCTATTATTAAGGAGATTGAATAAATTATTAATTGATGGAACAGAATTTTTTGATCAGATACATGTATAATAGTTCTTATAAAAGTACTTTTACTCCTAAAAAAAAAACCATTTTTATTCTTGCTTCTTGCTTTTTTGTTTAATATAAATTCTAATAAAGAATTTTAAAAAATTTTTTCTGTTTAATATGTCAACTACTTGATTTAAAAAGACTTTTTATTTAGTTTAAGATTAAAAGTAAGAATTTTATATAAAATGTGAAGTTAACTAGTTAACTCACAAAGTATTTGATGTAATTTTTTATAACTTAAATTAGGTACAGAAGTAAAAGCGATTATATCATTAATATTAAAGGCTAAACTTTAACAATATAATTATTTTTGAGGTTTTTATATAAATTTTGATATGTAATTTTGATATGTAAGGCATAAGATTGCATACATGTTATAATAATTACTATACTTAATTCAATAAATAATAGTTAAAATTAAGTATTTATATCACTTATAATTTAGTTTTAATAAAATAAATGAATATATTTTTGATAAAATATAAATTCTGTTCATCATATTATCTTTCAATCATTTTGTTACATAGAATTGATATTTTTTGAAATGCAAATGTTTAGAGTTAAGAATATTAGACAGTCTTTTTTTTATTATGTCAATTACTATGTCTTGGTGAATAATTCTTAATTTTCTTGACAGTATTAAGATAACTGATGTAACTTCTCAACTTTTGAAGGATTTATAATAAGAAATAAGTTTTATTATTACATGAAAAAAATGATTTACTTCAATTTTCATAATTCATAAAAGGAACTTTTCTTTTAAAAAAAAATTTTAATTATTAATAGCATTAATAATATAACCAAATTTTATATTTTTAGTTTTGTTATTTTAGACCAAATGAAAATACCATATCATAATGCAAAAAAAATAAATTTAATATTTTTATTTTATTTTATTTTATTTTTTTTTAAAAGTACTAAAAAAAAAATTAAATACTGTAACACCCTCCTCCTATATTTCATTTTTACTATATACTATAATTGGGAATAAGTGTGAAATCCTATTTGTCATTATTATTTTCACATATGTTATATTAGTTATATTAAGCATTTTTGGTAATTCATATAATTCTCTAAATCATAATGAAGGTAAATTCTTTAAATCTAAAGAGATATTTTTCTTGAATAATAATTTTATCTTACTTACTATTTTCATTCTTTTAGAGAGAATATGTATAGGTTTAAGTAATTTACAATATATTGTGAGTTCTATAATACTCAAAAGTTGAAATTTAATTTAAATTGTTATTCAAATTACGAATAAATAATCTTTTTTTATTTATTATTAGCTCAGGTCAATAATACAAATTTAGCCATAGTTGAAACTCTCATTATGATCAAAAATTCACTAAGAACAATTACTTTATCAAATATTGAAAGAATTCACAAAAATTGAAATTATCAACTGACAATGTTTACTTGAAACAATTTAGTTTATAATATTCAAATTATATATTTCATTATTATTTCTATTTTCAAATTCGCTAATGTACTGAAGATATTAATAAATATAATTTATTAAATAAAAATAACTTATCCTAAGAAAATGAACATATGAAAACTTTGCAATAGAAAAGGGGAAAAGAGCTGAAAAAAATAAAAAATGAGTTGATGCTAAATTTGAACATATTTTGACCTAAAATCATATTTGGCATCTAATTGATTTTTTTTAGTAATTTCTACCTGTTTATTGTAAAGATCCTATATTATATTAAAAGTAAATTTGAAAATTATTATTATTATGTCAGCGTATATTGTAAAAAATATTTATTTTATCAGCGTAGAAAGTTTTTAAATATCACTATAATAATATTATCTATAACTAATTCTTTAAACAACCATTTTTTCATTATAGAATAACAAGTAATAATATGAAATCATAATCAATTCTCTTCATATAATTTTCATAGATAGATATTTATTTAGAAATCTTTATTCTGAATTATTGAATGGCAAATATATTAACCTTTTTGTATTAATTTAACTTCATTAGAGAATAACAAAAAATATATATATAAAAAGCTGCAAATAAATAAAATTATCAAACCTTTTAAATAAATAAATATTGAATTTTTTTTTTAACAATTTTAAATAAGGGAATTTTTCTAGGATACTTATTTCTCATACGATACTATTAGTTCATTCTCTGAATAATTGATAGTATAAATATTAATAAAAAAAAAAACTTCATCTAAACTATACCATACATTTGGTAATAAAATAAAAGAATTTTATATTTATAATTTCATTTTAAGTTGTATACAGTAAGTATCTAAAATTATTACAATAATATAAAACATATAATTTTTAGTTTAAAACTTTTTTTTTGTATAAAATATGATGAGACTAATATGCTTAGATTGAAAAGTATCTATCTTTGGTATACAAATATTTCTCTTATAGTAGCTCATTTACAAAGTAGAATTCATTAATATATTAATAATGTATTTGATTAAAATCATTTGAAATTGCTCTCTCACAAAGAACTATAATAGAATTGACTATTTGTAGATTTAACTCTAGATTTCAGACTTCCGATTTATTTGGAGGGAATATTGAATGAGTTGTAAGATTTTCTAAGAGTTCTTGAACTTTTTGTTCTGTAAGTTCTATACTGCAAGCTTTTAAATTTTAAAAAAAAAAAATATATATTTTTTTTAAAATTATTTGGGTTAAATAAAAGGCATATATGTAATTCATAACTTGAAAAAAAAGTGAGGAAAAAATTGATGAACATTTTATA